GGAAATAAGTACCCTTTCCTTTTCCAAGACCATTCTCCAATATTTGTTCATTCACTAGAATTGGACTACTAGCATCCATATTAATAGATTTCTTTGATTGGGCCACCATATTATCCTGCATTTTGAAATGTCAATGAAGTAATTTAATAGAGAAATTGATGCAACCTAGATAAGTAATACGTAGTAATTTCTATTGCTTTCATCAAGAAAACCAATTTTATGTGGAATTAAGGCAAAACTGAAACACTCTAACTTTAAGCTAAGACAAACCTTTATTTTACAATATAAGAACTGTTTATGAGATTTCGGAATCTTCAACCAATTGTTATAGCATAGTAGAATGTAATCATGAGCAATGATCCCAATTAACATGGTGATTACCCAAAACAAATCAAAGGATTTTTTGGTTATAGATGTTGAACCGATGTTACTAGGAAAGTTTCTTAGTTTCAATGTCTATGTTAGTGATAAAGAGACTGTTTTTTATGTGTTGATTTTACATTTATGTTTCGATTGAGGGAGAAACAATGTGAGGTATTTCAAAGAGCCGCAGTACCACGTGTGTCTACACTATCCATATACGTTTATATACATAAGCATATTAGTTTGAAAAAGCTAAAACACCCCCTACTATACCTTCAAATGTTCTGGTTTTTCATATACGTTTCGGAATAAACAAATGTTCTAGTTTTTTAAATTTCCTTCACATGCTTTATTCTCATTTGGATGTACTTATAAAGACACACAAATCCTTCAAAGGTTTTACACATAAAATAGAAGAAAAATACACAAACAGAGGCATATAAATAAAAATACACCCCATAAATCCTTCAATTTATTGAAAAAATTACCTTCAAAAAGTTGGGAACAGGCTGATTACCTACAATCAAAAGCATTAAGGAAAGAAACAGAGGGTTTTGCACTTTCTCTAAATGAAACTTTTCTCTCTTCTTTTTTCTTGTTATTTGAGTGTCGATCTATTAGGAAAAAACTATAGAATACAAAAAATATATAAATATATATTGAGTGAAAGAGCTAGAGTTAAAAAAAAATACCTATTTGTAATGCCTGATCGCTGAGTTCCGAATCAGCATATCCTCGCCGGACCTAGTTGTAGTTCAGAATGAGATCGAGGAGAGAAGCAAATTGCTGTAACTTTTGACGTTTGGGTTTCAGAGAGGAGAGAGGCAGATCGTGTGGGGTTCCATTGTTCTAAGAGAAAAGAGATCAGTAATGAATGAGGGCAAAACGGGGAAAGGATCTAGAGGGTTGTTTTAATGTACAAAACGACGTAGTAGGTTTTACTTTTCTATAATTTGGGGACACAAGAGGAATTTTCTTATATTGTCAAATTGATGTAGAGAGTGACACGTGGAAATAAGATTATGGGGACAGACAAAATTCCATCCCTAAAAGAATTTGGGACAGTCCTACCAAAATTTCCTTGAATTCTTCCCTCCAAAAAAATTCCCGCGTGTATTTTTTGGGTTAATTGGGACAGAGGCATTTTGCTGTCCCAAATAACCCTAGCTTTTGGGACGGATTTTAAACTGTCTCAATTAACCCTAGCTTTTGAGACCAATTTTAAACTGTCCTTAATAGTTCGTCCCTACTATCCTCATTTCTTGTAGTGAGAGGGAGAGAGATGACTCGATCAAACTTGAAGGCTAAGCTAGCGTGAGAATTTGAACGGATTAGCTTGCAAGGAGTTGGTATTAGTTAGCAGATATTGTTGGCAGCAATGGTGTTCTTTGCTACTGTAAGGACTTCTGTTGCAGTGATGTTATAATTTATGAGCACATTAGTTCTGATTTTCAACATATTTATTTATACTCGTAGTTTTTTAACACATTAATTTTGCTTTTTGGTACATCAAATCTGATTGAAATAGACAGATTCAATTGCGTTAAAATAAAAACTTCAAGTTTGATCAAGTCATCTCTCTCCCTCTCTCTCACACACACACAACACACACACATGCACATGATGTTATAATTTATGAGCACATTAGTTCTGATTTTCAACAAACTTATTTATACTAGTATTTTTTAACACATTAATTTTGCTTTTTGGTACATCAAATCTGATTGAAATGGACAGATTCAATTGCGTTAAAATAAAAAAATAATTAAAAAAAACCCCTAAAACACCATACTATATACAACCGAGAATTTAGACTCCTTGATCGCTTGCACGCGTGTTTGTGAGAGGGGAAGAAATTGAGCATTACCCTAATAGATTCTCAAAATGTCCCATCGGACTATAAGGTCGGTGATTCACTCTATGATCATTGGCCCATTGAAACTTTCAATCCTCCAAATACCAAATAAGAGCCATCCCTACCTCCCATATAATAAATAATATTCCCACACACATTATTACACTTGTGTGTGTGTGTGTGTGTGTGAGAGAGAGAGAGAGAACTTAGTTCAACTAGAAACCTCACCCTTCAAGGGCTTCCAAAGCAAAAAGATATATATATATATATATATATATATATATATAATGTAGGACCAAACTAGATCAAAGAAACCAAACTTTTAGACCAAACTAGATAAAAGAAACCTAACTTTTACACCAAATCCCAGAAGCATAGTATTACCCTTTTTGGCTTTCTAATCTTCCAAACTTCACAAAGGAAAAAACCTACAGCACTATAAAATACACTTACTTTAGAGTTCTGAAAACTAATTAATCCCTACACCTAATAAAATAGAACCCTAGATAATCATCTTTCCATAATTAAAAATTCAATCAACCTAGCATGTCCTAAACTGGTATGTTGAGACAACTACTTTTTTTTTTTCTTTTTCTTTTTTTTTTTTTAATACAATACCTTGTTAGATGGAATTCAACAATCATTATGACATCCAAGCTTTTTATGTTTGAAGTTTTGACTGAAAGAACTCATCCCTACATGCACATCATGAAAAGTGGCTGCAATGTTGAGTGGGAAATAAAGTGGTTCACAGAGGGATGAGAGGCAAAGATACACTCTCATTGGTAACAGAAAAACCAGTGCCACTGGCTAAAAGTCAACCCATGTTGACTTTGAATATGTATAGATTTAGTGGAATATAAAAACATACCGTCCGTCCACTCTCTCTCTCTCTCTCTCTCTCTCTCTCAAGCAACAATCGATCATATTGGCACTGGCCCAGTGTACTAAACCATCTCTAAATGACACTTCTTTAGGATCCGTTTATATATATATATTATCCAGTTTGGTCTCACTCATGTGATGGTACCGTTTCGCCTGATAAATACGTCTATTATGATGCCTAGTGCAATAAAATTTATTTATTTCAAATTGGCATATAGTTATGTTGTCTTAGTGTGATGATAGTTATTTGTTTTTTTTAGTGTGATGATAGTTATGTTGTTCTAGTAGGATGATATATTGGCACTACACAATGTATTACCGAAACCACAAAATGTGAGACGAGAGTGAATTTTTGTTATTAAGTTATTCGTTTGAATTTGTATTGCTTATTGTTTGGTAATTGCTATCTTTCGAGCCATATTGTAGTGGAAAGAGCTCATGTCCGCATTTTAGATAACATCCAATCAAAACAATTTTATAGTAGATTTAGGTCTAGTTTGGTATGCATAAATAAAATAGATGGGAATGGAATGAAATCAGAAATGGAACGAGAACATAAATGAAATGGAATTGTCATTTTCATTATCTTGTTTGGTTACAAATGTGAAATAATGTTGGAATGAATTGATAATTACAATTTTAAATGGTGGTGGTGGCAGTAGCGAAATGTGTTGGTGGTGGCAGCGGCAGCAACGATGGTGGAAGGTGGTGGTGGCAGTGGCAATGGCGAAATGCGGTGGCGCCCCACGCGGCCGTGTGGAGGGTGGAGGTTGATTCCTTGAAATGGATTTTCATTCCATCCGTTTAGATGCATGTGTAATGGATTCTTATTCCTTGAAATTTTAAATGTCATATTAAATAAGGGAATGATTGAAATATAATGTCAATCACATTCTATTTTTGTGTATCAAACTAGGCTTTAGTATCTTTTTTTCTTAACAAAACTTTAAAGCCTATTTAATTGAATTTAAAAAAATAAAATAAAATAAAAAATAAAATAAAAAAACAAACAGTTTTCAATAATTTACAAAATAAAAAATTATAAAATATTGTTTTACAAAAATTAAAAACTGTTATCAGAAATGAAACAAACAATCACTAAACTTTTCAAAAGAAATAACTTTTAGTGGATAAGTCATTTGTGTGTGTGAATATATGTTTGTATGTTAATGCAGTGTATACAGGAATTTAGGTCTTGTGCAACACGTTATACATCATAGCATTACAACTATGTAAAAAATACATACTTATTATATAAGTAATGTAGTCAATATAAGACATAAAATTTAGCAAAAATATATATATATATAAAAGACATAAAACACAATAAAAGATGAAAACAGTGTAACATGAAAGGATCCAAGTTTATATATATAAAAGCAGCGACAGTTGTCATTCGTTTTAGGATATTTAGGAACGGGCCGATTGGCAATGAAACGGGACGGCTCCCATTTCGAAACGTTTCCGAAAAATGCGGCTAGTTGCCGCCACTTTACTTTTCCATCACTTATCCGTTGAAGATGACATTTGTTTTTTAGTGTGAAAGGTCTCCAATTTGGTTAGTAGCAAAATTACAGGTATACATACACAGAAAACAAAGCTATACATTAACAAATTAACAATATAACATGCCTGGTGAGAGAGAACAAAAATAAGTTAAACTACGTGTTATATAAAATACAAAAAAACAGTTGATCAAAATTGAACCCTTTGATAATATTATTAAAAAATAGTATATACTATAGTATAGTATAAATTAATCGGCCAGCTCAAGACCCTATTAGATTAAGTAAATTATTACAAATTTAAAACTCATTTCCCTTCTTTCTTGCGTATGGAGAAGAGCTGTTTTGTATGAAAAGTCAGCGATTGACTCTCTCTCTCTCTCTCTCTCCTCTCTCTCTCTCTCTTCAAATCCATTCTCTAGCTCTTTCTAAATCCATTCTCTAGCTCTTTCTTTGTTTTTGAGAAGAACAAAAACCTGTTTGAACCTTCAAAAACACAGCTTTTCATTCTTTCTAATTCCTCAACAACAAAACAACCCAGCTCCCCATTTTTTTCTTAGCTTAATCAAATACTTAGAGTGACCATATATATATATATATAAAACAATCACTTCCTTTACTTGTATTTGGTGTACAACACATATATATTTTACCAAAGAGAGAGAGGTCAAATGAAATTGTATTTTATGCTAGCTAGCTGGTTTGATTTCTAAGTATGTATAGTCACTTTCTTCAGAGAATGGAGAATCATATTCATCAAGGTGATTTAGCTGATATAGTCCTAGCAAGCGGCGGAGCAATTACAGGCACATCCGGTGAACCACCCTTGTTCTTCCACTCCGATCCCATGAATTACACTTCCGGGATCGATACAGTTCCGATGAATGATCATTTTGGCGATCCCTTTTCGAACATGATGAGCAATCATCCTCTTCTTCATGAGCTTGATATTCCTGGTTCAGGCTTTTTTGAGGACTCAAAGTATAATTCTAGTACTGCTATGATCAAAGGTGGTGTTGAGGACAACAATACTGCAAGTGTTGGGTATAGTGGTGTTTTTGGTCAGAATACTATAGATGATGAGATGAAGAGACCTTCCAATATTTTTTCAAGGATGCTTCAGATCTCACCCAATAATACTAAGCTGCCGGTTCCGCGGTGTGATTCGCCGGTGGTGGTTGCGGCTTCACCAAGGGGGATTAGGAGTCCTGGCTTAATTGCTAATGATGTGATTAGTGGTAACAGTTCCAAGGGTTTGTTGTTTGAGAACACAGCTGGGGTACAGATCTCATCTCCAAGGCATAGTGGTATAAAGAGAAGGTGAAGTAACTTTCTTGAATGAATTGCCCTTTTTTTTTTTAATAGAAGTGATTTGATTTTGTCAATTTAGTTCACATTTTATGCTATACCATATTACAGAAAACACATATATAGGTTCTTCAATTAACAAAAGGGGGTGTTGAATTGTAGGTAATTAATATGTTTTTGTTATAAAGAGAAGGTAAAGAAATTGGCTTGATTAATGCATGAATTGTCTTTAAACACAAAAGTGATTTAATGTTATATTAATTAGTTTTGTTTTTGTTTTTGTTTTTTTTTTTTTTTTTTCAAGTTTATATTTTTATGTAATACCTAGATTATAGAAGAGAGAAGGGTTCTTAAATTAACAATAAACGCGTTGAGTTTAATTTTTGGGAAATCAACGTTATATAAATTTGGGTATATCTATATTAATTTCATGCTGAGGATCTGAAGATAGGGTTTTATAATTGTTATATATTTCATGTTAAGATAATATAATTAAGTTTTATCATAAGCAGCTCTATGATTCCAGATGAGTTTGCTTTTTGTCAACATTATACCACCAAATTAAACACATTGTCTGAATTGGTCGTGATCAACCTGAAAAGGTTGCCCAAGTTGTGTCATAATATATATTATTCACAGACATGTATAGCTTTCATGTAGTTATCTATAGCTACTTTTCTTCCATAAATCCACCTGAAAAGAGTTGTGTTTTCATTTGTATATATGGCCTTTAGATTTTACTATCCCTTTCAGCTTTCATGAAGAAAAGAAGCCAAAAATCATTCTTCGATCTTCCAAAATGTACAAATTTATAAAACCTCCTACACACCAAATTAAGAAAAATAACTCCTAAATAATGAATTTCTCAACCCACAAGCTTTACATATAAAAATAATTATCATATTAATATTTATAGCTTCTTTCGATCAATTCATGTTGTTGTGTCTTGATTTGTGAAAACTAAAGACAAAAACAACCTTGATTTCGAATTATCCAGAAAGAGCCAAGCAAAGAAGGTAGTTTGTATACCAGCACCAGCTCCAGCAAACAGCAGGCCATCAAGTGGAGAAGTAGTTCCATCTGATCTCTGGGCATGGAGAAAGTATGGTCAGAAGCCTATCAAAGGTTCTCCTTATCCAAGGTATGAAAATTACAGATATTAATTATATATCTTAATAAGAAAATAACAGAACAATAAGACTTCTTCTATATTCTGACATTTGATTAAGATTATTATATACTCATCTTAATTTCTTGCTTGTTCCAAAGAATCTGTAAGCCACGTTCGGTAGTATGGAATTGTTGCTTTTAAAATTGGAAGTGGCCGGAGAAAAATTAGTTCAAAAATGGTACCAAACATAGCTTAATAAGTATACTTTTTTTTACACAACCAAGTTAATTAGTTTTATAATTGAAAATTGAAGAAAACACACATAGAATTAACTAACACATTGACTATTTTATCAAACACAAATTAAATAACAAAATTGTTACAAGTATTAAAGATTATTGAACCATTAGTTTTTTTTTTATTTTTTATCATAATTTAGTTTGTTTACCTTTCATGAATAGTTTGTTTAATTTATTTTATTTGAAATTATTCAGGGGATATTACAGATGCAGTAGCTCAAAGGGCTGTTCGGCGAGGAAACAAGTGGAACGGAGCCGGACTGACCCCAACATGTTGGTCATTACATACACTTCAGAACATAACCATCCATGGCCAACCCAGAGAAATGCTCTTGCCGGTTCTACTCGGTCCCAACCATCAAAGAACACTGCAGCTTCAAAGAATTCTCCGTCTTCTCAGTCCCAAAAGACCACAAGCTTGAATGAGGAACAGAAGGAGAGCCTCACCGACAACGTGTCGTCGTCCATTGTCACTGAAAGTTCCACAACAGGTGGTCCATCTGTGAAAGAGGAGATGGAAGAGCTTGATCATAAGCAAATGGACATAGACGATGGTGATCAGTTCAGTGAAGGGTTTCCTCAGACTTACAGGCCAGCATTGCCAGACTACTACTCCAACCAGTCTGAGGACTTCTTTGCAGAATTAGGAGAAATAGAGGCTGACCCTCTAAATCTCTTGTTCACTCAAGGATTCAGTGCTGGAGATGAGGAGAGAGAAAGCAACAAGAAGGCCTTGGATCCATTCAGTATCTTTGATTGGACAGGAAATAACAACAATAACACGTCATTTGGAGAAGCTAAGAGGGGTTTATAATATTACTTTGAAACAACAACAAAAACCCCCACTAAAACAGACTCTTATATGGTTAGTCATTTTTATATGGTGCAATTTTTGTTTATGGTCATGCTTATAGGCCTTGCCATTCTGGTTTGAGATTTAAAGTTGAAATCCTATGTGGTAGAGATCTGAAGTGGAATATTGCATCGGACAGCTCTTGGCTCATGCGCACGTATTTGAGCCAAGAGCCATTCGATACAGTACTACACACTAGAAAGGATTCTGACTTCATTTGCATGCGTATAAGGCCCACGTACGCGAATAACTTGAGATCTTTCTATTGTAGTACAGCTCGATCGTATATTTTCTTCATATGAGATTTGCAGTGGGCAAGGTAGTTTTTATCAAGTTTCTTACCTTTTCTTGATGTTGTTATTTACCAGAAGAGTCAGTGGGATTAGGAAAAGGAGTAAAAAGAGAGGGTGGAGGCAGACCTAATGAGAGTCCCACATTCCTTTGGAATATTAGTGGATGGGACAGAAAGCTGAGGAACAGAAGATTTGAACAGTTAAAACATGCAAGTACATTTATCAGAGACATGACTGAAAGCTCGTGAAGAGATTGATGTAAGGTGGGACTCTTTCTCTCATCTTTCGGATCAGTGGACTAAATTATTCAAGCCGGACCCATGCATTAATTTGGTCATGTGTAATACCTATATATATATGTACACACACATATGGAGTATATGTTTGTATGTATAACACTAGGGGAAAAAGCATTGGAAAAGCTGGACTTTTCATATCGATCAGTCTTCTCCAGTGATTTGTAAAAGAGAGATACACAAGCTTTGGGTTCCTCAGCTTTCTGTTTGTTCAATGTCCACGTACACAACTTTTGTCTATTTTGAATTATTTACTTTAGATTAATGTACTATATATTTAATTAGTCTCATCTTCTCTAATTCTCTTGCTGATTTCTTTCCAATTAATGCATGCATGCATGTTGGATGAAATGAATGTAAGTATATACTATATAATTATATATCTGGCTTGTAATAAATATTAGCCATGCTCGAACTTGACAATCTTTTTAATTACCAAATATATATATATATTAGCAATGCATCTCCGATCTATCATCTACGGTGTATATATTATGGGTGTGCTGTTGAGTTCATTAAAGCATCATTAATTCTCTGCCACATTATTCCCAATAATTTTTTAGACTTCATGCTTTAAGGCAATCTAGCATTGGATCGAGCTCACACTTTTTAGTTTAGGTTTAGCAAAGTCACTTGAAATAATGTTGTATTAATAATGCATTTTGATATATATATATATTTGAATATTTTTAAGAATTTTAACAACTATAATATAAAATTTTGATATAAGCTTAAGATTTTGCACGTAATATAATATATAATATATATATATGTATGCCCCTCAAAAAATATTATATATATATATATATATATATGGTTTAAATTCAACTCACTTAATCCACCGTATATATATATATATAATTTATTCACTTATATCAATTCTTGTATTCAGTGGCCGAGTAACAAGAAATTTGATACAATTTTGGTGTGAGTTTAATTGACTTATATTTATCAACAAATTTATTCACTTACACCATATATATATTCTTGTATTCAGAGGCCGCGCTCGAGTAACAAGAAGTTTGATACAATTTTGGTGTGAGTTTAATTGACTTATATTTATCAACAAATTTATTCACTTACATATATATGCGGCCTCTGAATACAAGAATATATATATATGGTTTAAGTGAATAAATTTGTTGGTAAATATATAAGTCAATTAAACTCACACCAAAATTGTATCAAATTTTTTGTTCCTCGAGCGCCGGCCTCTAAATACAAGAATTGACTTTAATTTACAATATAATTTCACACTCTTTTTTCACCTTCCATTCCCCTAATGCTCTGTTGGATATTTACAATATAATCAAAATTGATTTATACTTTATATTCTGATTTTGTTGAGATCTATAGTTAAGATTTGGTCGGCTGCAGGCTAGCTATGAGGACGAATCAGGTAATGCCGATCCTATTTTTACTCCCTGCTGATATTGTGGGATCCTGGGCTGCTGGTCAACTTACTTGATCAATTGCTACACCTTTTTTGACTTTTGAGTATCCCATTTGTTTTTGCTTATGTAGACATTACTACATGTCGAGTGGTTATTTGGTCCCCACACACACACACACACACGTATAGTTATTACAGGCAGCAAATTACGATACGATCTGCTAACATGACTCGAAGTAAATTTGAGTTGATATTAAATGGATTTAGGTCATAAATGATTTGACACAATTAACCTATTTACTTAATTGTGTCGGATTAGGGTCGAGGGTTCAACCCGTTTAATCCATTTATGACATGTTTAACTCATAATATGTTACCTTTGTAAACCTAATTAATATGAGCATTTAACATAAACCTTATTTATACCTTATGATTTTTTTTTTTCTTATTTTAAATATTTAGGTTAATTGTGTCAAATTTTTTATATTATTCATTATTTGATTAAATATTAAATGTTTCGTTTTGATAAACATGTTATTAAACTGGTTAACACGTTTAAAACTCATTTAATAAACAAGTTGGGTTAGTGTTGAGGGTTCTTGACATGATTATTAAATAAATCGGGTTTAGGTTTACCTATTTAGTATAGTATCCTTACATCAACACGACAAGATTATGACTCACAAATACAAATTATCACCCCTAATATTTATATAAGATTTTGATCAGCTATAAGTTGCAAGTTAATTTAACTGGCATGCAGCAGAAATAAATAAAAAATAAAAAAATCTGGCATGTAGTTCTTTCAATTTAATTTGATCCAACATAATTTGCCAAATATATATAGAGAAAGGAATAAAAACTACTAAGCTTCGGTAGGTTATTGTAGGTCTCTTATTGTCTTTTCTTGACAATATTTAGATTATCATTGATGAGGGAGAAAGTATACAATTGGATCAATAATAAAGTAACATATTTTTTTTAAATTATCAAAACGGGAATAAATAATAATAATATAACATTGTCCTTGCTACGAATGTCAAAAATATATTCAAAATCATGGACATCTTGTACCACCTTTGTTCATATGTAGAAGCAACATTTTGTTTTTTCTTTTCACGGAAGCAACATTTTCCATGTAGGAATAGTTCCCTTTGAGTTCCGTCAAATCCATTGATTTTTTCATGCTCCATTGAAGTCCATTTCATTTAAAAAGGAAAGGGCGGTCTAAATTCCCAAATGTGTTCCTCATTTTAGTCAAAAATCATTACGTGCTAGACTGAAATTTTCCACATTTGGGTTGGGTTTATTGGAATGACGATAGCTAGTGATGGTCATGATTCGGAAAAGAAAGCACATTTTGGACTCAATTGAATATTGACATCAACCTAAAACTTTACCACCATTAATTTAGTCTCTTTTGAATTTTTAGTACCCAATAATCGGTGCCATGATTTGAGTTTTGTTGTCTTACATCCTTAAAAAAGGGCATATAAAACACATTTGATGTCTCCATACATGTATGTCAAATTATTCATAATAAGCATAGTGTTATCCCATCATTGGTATTAGCACAAGTCCATTACTTTCAAGAGCGTGAATATGTAACAGCACCACGTAGTTGAGATTATCAAGTCAGTTACAGTATTGAATATCGTCTCAGCTTTCAAATGTTAAATTGGTTTCACCATTTCATCACTATCCCTACACCTTTTCACTATTTGAGATGTGTTCATTTGGAAAGAAAGTATTTGCTATAAATGGAGACTCGTCATGAATAGTAATGTACACTTTTTATGAATGTAGTCTTTAGGTGGATTGATCCACTTCTTCCGCAATACAGACCCTTAATATTCAAAGGGAGGTCGGGGAACATGCCCGTACTTTTCAAAAAAGAGGTTAGAAGTTCACGCCTCCGTAAAAATATGGATGTGTGTCACCGAATTGTTATGTTTTTGTATGCAAATTAATTGCAAGCTAGCTTGCTTGTTAAAAAATCTTCAAAATCAATAAGGGTGATTTTGTTTCATAGTGATATTAAATTAGGTACGCCAGTAGAGATATTAAGTCAGAGAGAAATTAGTCTTTCACATCAAAAAGATTTGTTTGTCCTTTTTTTGGGTAATTAGAAATTTTGTTTTTGTCAAATTCTATATTCCATGTTTACAACTAATGCATATAAAGCCTACAATTATGACTATAAATCTATGAAAAATAAAACTAAAACTAAAGACTCCAAAGTTAACCTCAAAAGAATACTAGTCCAAAAGCTGCTGTTTTTGTTGGGCTCTCTTTGGGCTCTGTTTCTGCGAAATGTAATGCGTTTTTCTTTCGTTTGGATCCTTCCCTGGATTCTTTCTTTGGCCCATGGGCCTCATTTGTGTTTTTCTCCTTCTTCTTCTTCTTCTTTTTTTTTTTTTTAATTATTATTTTTTAAAACATTTTTGTATGGTTTTTCCTCTTTATAATAAATTTTATATATGGGAAAAAAATTAATCCTAACAACAAAAGTAGAAAATTTTCTATTTGTTTGAATATGAAAAACAATTAAATGATAAATCTTAAGAAATTAAGAACTTATTCTCATAATCAATTTTTGATAGGTGCAAATAATTTCTTGGAGAGGCGTGTGATAATTAACTAGGAAAAAAAAAAATTTCTTAAGAAATTATCATTATTATTCTTTCCTTCTTTCTTTAAAGAAAGAAAAATAAAATTTCAATTCAAAAAAAATTATGTGAGAAGCAGCAACAAACAACTATGCCACCGAGCGATAATTTAATGATACTTTCTGACTTTACTAATAGAAATTTAAGTTTGCACATATAAGTATTTTATTTAACTTTTTTTATTTTTTATTTATCTTCATTTGCAACACATAATATGTGACATTACTTATTGTAACACGGTTCGCGTCATGAGTAAATTCTTTGACAATTAACACAACATTCATTCATTTATTTATTTATTTTATTGTTGTTGTAAAAAACTTAAACCCTTACATTGATGAGAAATTATACGTTTCAACGGTTGCAACATATAATTTCTTCACATTGAGATGCAACCCTTGATTTATATTCTATAGTTTTTAAATATCGTGTTCACTTAATTAATTAGCATGTTATAATGGTGAGGATATGTCGCATATGTGTTTGCCTGGAGCTATTCAGATATGCTGTGAATCGATCCTTCTATGTCATGTCATTCCCTCAACGTAAATCCTAGCGTCAAGTCCTTTAGATAGAAGCAGAGGAGGTTCGCTCCAAAACGCAATCAAATTATAGCTGATGAAATTGATAGATTGTTGGATGTGGGATTCATCAGGGAAGTTCAGTACCCATCTTGGCTCTCAAATGTGGTTGTAGTGCAGAAGAAGAATGGGAAATGAAGAGTCTGTATCGATTTCACTAACCTGAACAAAGCTTCTCCAAATAATAGCTTCCCGTTACCGAAAATTAATCAGATGGTGGACGCCACTAATGGGTATGAACAGCTGACCTTTCTAGACGGCTTACTCAGGTTACAATCAAATCCTTATGGATCTGGATGATGAGGAAAAAATTTCTTTTATAACCGAGCGGGGGATCTATTATTATAAGGTAATGCCGTTCGGACTATAAAATGCTGGAGCCACTTACCAAAAGCTGGTTAGCAGGATTTCCAAAAGTCAAATGGGCAAAACTGTAGAGGCCTATATTGATGATATGGTAGTGAAAAGTAAAAGGAAGGACCATCATTTGTAACACTTGCAAAATGTGTTAGGGGTATTGAGGAAGTACGGTATGAAGCTTAACCCGACCAAATGCTCGTTCAATGTAGGTTCT